ACCTGTCGGAAGGCCAGGGAGCTTCTGAGCCCTCTGAGGAGGCCCACCCCCTCTCGCCCAGACCTTACTCGAGGGATGAAGAGTAGCACCAGGGCCTCGACATCTGAAGCCCAGCCGAGGTTTTAAGCAGTCCAGACAGGTCCATAGGTCTGGAGGGCCAGTTGTGGGTACTGGAGGGTCAGGGAGGAGGAGGAGGAGGAGGAGGAGGAGGAGGAGGAGGAGGAGGAGGAGTGAGGAGGAGGAGGAGGAGGAGGAGGGAGGAGGAGGAGGAGGAGGAGGGAGGAGGAGGAGAGGAGTGAGGAGGAGGAGGAGGAGGCCGGAGCATCAGTCCGAGATAGGCGCGCCGCCGGCATGCGAGGGCGCCACGCCCCTTCCGCGCGGGCCGGTCTCGGGGTCAGCGAGGTACGGGTGACGCTTCCCCCCCTCCCTCTCTCCCTTTTACCCTGCCCTCCCCCCCCCTCGTTTCCACGGCACCTCCTCCCCCCCCCCCCCTCTCCCTATCCAGCCGCCTCCCCTCCACCTCTCCCCCTCCTTGCTTCCCCTGCTCCCGCCGCCCTGAGCCAAGCGTCCCCTCGCGGCGGGAAACTGTGTGCCGTGCTGTGTTCTTCCCCCGCCGACGACCGCGTTGAAGTGGTAGGTGTTCACCTCGATGGGAAGGCCCGGAGCGGACGGGGACGCGGACAAGGATGAAAAGAAAGAGGAGGCGGGGTGCAGTGGATGGGGGGCAAATGAGGGGGATCTGGGATGAAGAATGGATGATGGAATACGGAAGCCCTCTCCCGCCACCTCCTCTCCCTTGCCCTCCTCTGCCCTTTCCCTCCCAACCCAGGCCATGTTGCTGCCCCGCCGCTCCTCTGAACTCATGTGTTTTCACTCTCTTGCCACCGCCCCCCGCCCATTCCCTCTCCCCCATCCAACTCGTTTCCCTTCGCTCTTCTTTGGCACCCATTCCCTTCACATTCCTCTGCTCCCCCCGCCCGCGGCGGCAACCACGACGTCGACGACAAAAACGACGACCACGAAGACAACGGCGGTGACGGCGACGACGACGACGCTGACGACGAGGACCGTCTCGGCTGAGAGAAGGCGGGACGGCCCCGCAGAGGGCCTTGCACTTGGTCTGCTGCCTGAGCCAATCGATCGCGATAAGGGAGATGTCTGGCCTGCGCGCGAGGGTGGGAATTCGACCGCACTCCCAACGTGCGTGGCAAGTTCTTATATATCTGTATATATATATATATATATATATATATGTATTCTCATGGGTCCTTGCTCTGGACCTGCACCGCCACGCGTCCCCAACGACTCCTCTGCGAGAACGGCGCCCATGCACCATACCACGCCTGGACTCCGTTCAGGCCCCGCCCCAGCGTGGTACGGAGCAGTTGTGAGGCTCCTGAGGGCCGACAAACTTCAGTGGAGGCCAGTCCACAAGAAACCTTCTACAAGAAACCCAACCCTGAGACACCAGGACGTCCATGGATGTGTCGTGTGGGAACGCCACGCTTCCCGCAGCCAAACCATCGAAACCAGAGAAACCATGACACCCTGGAGGCAAGGAAGGTGTCTCTTGGTATGGGCATCCACTGTGTGCACTGTACCGTTCCTGGGCCGGAGATCAACAACGCCTCGGGAGACGCCAACGCGGCCTGGTGCATACGTATCGTCCGCGAATATCATCCCGCCACCTCCTCTCCCCCGTACCATCTCCCGGTTTCTGCTCTACGTCGCGTGCCATTTCGCGTCTCGTGGCCCCGCGGGGAGCTTCACTTACGGTTAGGTCGGGCGCGTCCTCCTTTACAGGGGGATGTCGGAGGAAAAACGGGACATCGTCCAAACACCATCAAACATGGTTATAAAATTAAAAAATCGTCCCCAGACAATTGTTTGACTATGTTCTAACATTCCTCCTGTAGAGGGACACGCCCGACTTAAACTTACGGCCCCAACGGAAGGGCTCGCATGACTGCACCCTCCTGCCTCCTCCTCCTCCTCCACCTCCATTTCCATTTCCATTTCCATTTCCATTTCCATTTCCATTTCCATTTCCATTTCCGTTTCCATTTCCATTTCCATTTCCATTTCCTCCTCCTCCTCCTCCTCCTCCTCCTCCTCCTCCTCCTCCTCCTCCTCCTCCCCCCTCTCTCTTTCTCCCCCCCCCCCCTCCCTCCCGCGCCCGCCCCCTGTTGGCCGCCGGCGCCGCGGGGGGTGCGAAGGCCGCGGCGCAGCGCGGATTATGGTCCTCACCGAAGGGGGCGACATCCCTGAAGGGGCCCCAGGACACACAAATATATACACACAAATAGAAAGATTCCCCATATTTTCACATATTTTCTGGGCTTCTGTCTTCCCGCCCAATTCCGTTATTTTCCCATATTTTCTGGGGGCTCGACGATTCATTGTGTCTGTGTGCTTCTTCCCCTCCCAAACTTCTGAAGAAGCCCGCAGGCGGGAGAGAGCGCAGGGGGCGGGCCTGGAGGGGCGCGGGCCCGCCCACGCGCGTCAACCCCGTTCGGCTACACGCAAGAGTGACCCTGGGTAAGAGCGACCTCTGGTGCGCAGCTTCGGGGGGCCGCGGGGAGGCCCAATCCAGGCGCGCTAGCCGCTGCTACCGCTTCGCGTTCAGCCATCTGGGGGCCCATCCGTGCCCGCACCCACCAGAGGTCACTCTGGCGAAAGGTCACTCTTACGTCTGGTTGACCCGTCCGCGAGCGCCCACCGGGCACGGCCGCCAATATCCAGCCAACTTCCTGTCAAAACAGATCCGCTTCGGGGGGGGCACAGAGGTGGGGGTGGGGCACAGGTGGGGTTGGAAGGAACGTCGCTCCAAACGGCCCCTTGAGAAAGGAAGCGCACTATACGGGAGCATCCAGCTGGGCCCGTTCCCCACCCAAACCTTGGGATAACAATCCCTCTACTTCGGTCGACCCAAAAGGGGGTCCAGCTGAAAGGGGGTGGTGCAATAGATTTTGGGCAATTATGTTGCAAATGCACTGCGCCAGAGAATTGCATTGCTTTGTATTGCACCGACTGTATTGCACGCGAAAGTCCAGCAACACATGTGCGCCCCGGAAAGTATTGCACGCCCAAAATGTATTGCAGCCCCACGAATCTTTTGCACCAAATCAATTGCACCACCCCCTGGTCGCTGGAACCCTTTTGGGCCAACCCGATCTACGAACCCCCGACCGCTTAGTAAAACGAGCGTGGAGACGTTGGCGAAGGAATCTGGAAGCGGTTGCGGGGGAAGCGTTTCGCAGAACACGTGGCGGAAGGTTTTGTCGATTCGCCAGGGCCCCATTCTCGGACGCGCGCCCTAGGGCGCCCCATGAAGGTTTTGGACGGCCCCAGAGGGGGTCTCCGACCAGAGAGTTTTTGATATGAAGAATCAGTTGTGGACATCCACCCAGATTATGTTACTGCACCCTGAAGTGCGATCTTCAGGGTCTATTCTCCGCTGGGGACACGAATCACTCACGCTAAGGACATTGCTCACTCCGCAGCAGCACTCAAGCGGGGACTATGGCTGCAACTGTGGCCGCCAACTGCACGGGACGCCTCACACCTCCCCGCCCTCGACGGCGGTTGCCTCATCAATGGAGGCGACTGCTAGAATGTTCCTTGAAATCTCCATGCAACCGATACGGTCGGCGGTCCCATCAGTGAACTCGATCGATCTGCCTCTAGTGTTGACCATCCACGAGCCCTCGGTCTTGACAAATCCGCCTCCCCCTGTTGATTCATCACAAGGGTGCCCGGCGTGCTAGACCCTTCCGCTTTGGGTTTTTTGTTCCTTTCCAGAAGAACTCCCCCTGGGGTTTCGGTCCGTCCCGCCGGAGATGCGTAACAGGTGGTTGCATGCAAAGGGTTCTCCGGCTCCAGACGGCTTCCATATGGTCTCCAAGACGGTCAAGACGGCCCAAGATGGCCTCCAAGTTCGTCCAAGATGGTCCAAGATGGCCTCGAAGACGGCCCAAGAGAGTCCAGGATGCCTCCAAGTTCGCACAACAAACACTGATCGAGTCTCACATACCTGTTCCAGGCCTCAGCGCCCACGGCCCGCCCCAGATGGGAGGGGTCCAAGGGCCACAGATACCCCAGCCAGATGGGATGGGTGGGAATGATAACGACGACGAAGACGACGAAGACGACGACGACGACGACGACGACGACGACGACGACGACGACGACGACGACGACGACGGCGGCGGCGGCGGCGGCGGCGGCGGCGGCGGCGGCGGCGGCGGCGGCACCGCAGCACCGTCCCACGCCCACGCGGGGGCGGAGAGGGGGCACCGCAGCACCGCCGCTCATCCACGAGGCGGCACCCTTACACCCTGCGAAATGGTTAAGAAATCATGGGTTAAGAAATTCATAGTCTCACAACTTGAATAAAAGCCCAACATTTCCATCTTAATCTTAAGATTTACATTGAAACGTTCAGAATAATCGAGACTCTAGCCGAAAACTGAAGTTTTCTTAAGCATCGCCAAAGGTGTATGAGGGAAATCCTGGAGGCCTCGCGCGGCAACAACTTGAGACCCGACTTACGTGGGATCCACGTCGGGCGTGTTTTGTGCCGGGTTCACGTCGGGATTACGTCGGACGGACCCCGGAGCATCGCCGCGCGAGCGTCGACCCATAGCTTACGGAACGGACAGGTGGACTAGATCACTCTACCATTACGTGCCGCGCGAGGTCTCCTGGATTTTCCTCGTACGTACCTATCAAAGGGGGCAGGGGAGGGGGGGGGGCGATCCCAGTATTTATTTGGACGCCCGAAATGGGTACGGAAAAAATGGGCACACTGCCCAACAACAAATGTTGTCCCAAACCAACAGCGGCCGCTGTTGGATAGGCGGCCTTCTGTCTCAAATGGACACAGGCCGCGGCGGCGCGGTCAGCGAGTCCTGTTCAAAATGAATACGAACTGCTGTTGGGCACTGTACCCATTCTTTCCGTACCCATTTCGTTCGTGCCGACATTAACATGGTAGGGGGCGCAGGGGAGGTCGGGCCTGGAACCTATCTCCGCTGTGCCGCAGGAGCGCCCCGTATAAGGAGGACCCCGCCTCCCTCTCCACCGTCCGGCCATCTCCCGGGGGGAACGGCCAAGATCAAGTCGGGCACGTCCCTCTGCAGGAGGAATGCTCAAACATAGTCAAGCAAAATAGCCTGGGAACGAGGCTCGTGTTTTCGTACCGTCGTGCATCTTTTGGACTCTTCTGGATATTTTCCTTCCAGAACCCGCCTTCGCTCTCTGGACAGCTCCGCCAGCACGTTCGTGACCGCCTCCGGGAAGGGGTGCGGCATCTGGGTCTTGAACGCCTGGCCCGTCCCTACATCCAGCGTCCCGCGGGCCGCCCGCCTCGTGCACGCTCGCACCCCGCTCCCCCCTCATGCCTCCTCCTCCTCCTCCTCCTCCTCCTCCACCTCCTCCTCCTCCTCCTCCTCTCCTCCCTCCTCCTCCTCCTCCTCCTCCTCCTCCTCCTCCTCCTCTCCTCCTCCCTCCCCCCTCCCCCTCCTCCTCCTCCTTCTCCTCCTCCTCCTCCTCCCCCTCCTCCTCCTCCTCCTCCTTCTCCTCCCCTCATGCCACCCCGCCTCGTCGCTTCCCATCCCCGCTTGCACACCATGGATCTACTACGGCCTCCTCTCCCGCGATCTCGTCGGGAAGATGGCCCGCCCTCTTCGCGCACGGTGCCCTGACCCGCAGGATTGACTACCTACCAGACCACCCCAACCCAACCCGAAGACCCGAATTTCGGGTTGGGGGGGTACGGGTTCCATATGTGTTTTCTCAATGTTCCCCCACCCCCCCACTGTAAATGGAGGGCAAATTGAGGCCTTCGGGATGGATTGGGGTGGTTTGGTGGGTGGTGAAGGATTGGGCAGATGGCGCAGACCATTGCGCCTGAAAGAGCGCATGATTGAATCCACGCGCGCTCACCGCGCCCAGATCGCATACCATTGCGCCCATGCAGCAGTTACTGCAAGTACTCCTGCACATGCTCATCTGCTGGGCGCGGATCAAATGTTGCAATGAACGGGTGGGGGGGGGAGAAGGGTACCCTTTTCGGGCCCTAGAGGTCCCCTCTTGGGCCCCTCTAAAGGACCAACAGCGGCCCTTTTCTGCAGCCCTCGCTGCCCCCCTCCCGATGTATCGCCCCCTCATTAGATCGCGCCCAAATCTGTGCTATCCCCACCGCTCCGGCCTAGCGCTGCCTTCATAAGCGCCGCCGCTCCCCCGTGGCTCTGGACGCCCGAAATGGGTGCTGAAAGAATTGGTACCATGCCCAACAGCTGATGTGGTCCAGAACCTTGTCATTCAGCGAACCTCGCCCGCGGCGGCGCGGACAGCGAGCCCTGCTCAGAATGAACAGCGAACTGCTGTTGGTGGGGAAATCACAAGGTACCGATACTGCTATTCCCTGGACCTCTCCCGGGGTGCGTTCTGACCAGAATTGCGAGGCGAATCCAACGGTGGCGACAACGGCCTCCCAGGAGGCCCAAAAAGGGGAAAACGGCCGAAGGGTAGCAGTATGGGTACCTTTTCCTCCTGTGAGTTGGGCATCGTGGCCCTTCATTCCCTACGTACCCGTTTCGTCCGTGCAAGAGTGGCCACGGCGTCCCTGGCCCTGGCCCTGGCTCTCCTCCTCCTCCTCCTCCTCCTCCTCCTCCTCCTCCTCCTCCTCCTCCTCCTCCTCCTCCTCCTCCTCCCTCCTCCTCCTCCTCCTCCCTCCTCCTCCTCCTCCCTCCTCCTCCTCCTCCTCCTCCTCCTCCTCTCCTCCTCCTCCTCCCTCCTCCTCCTCCTCCTTCTCCTCCACAATTACTCAATATGAATACTACTCTCCTCCTTCCCCTGATGACCGGTTGGGAGTGTTCCCCCCCCCCCCCCCCCCGCGTACGGTTTTTGTTACACACCTCATTTTCGGGCCCCGCGCGTTCAGAATCGTGCTCCCGCTGCAGCGCTGGCCTCATTTCCGTGCTTCCGCTCGTTCCGAATCGTGCTCCCGCTGCAGCGCTGGCCTCATTTCCGCGCTTCCGCTCGTTCCGAATCGTGCTCCCGCTGCAGCGCTGGCCTCATTTCGCGTGCCATGCCACGGTATGCAATGCAATGCTAGGTTGCGTTCCGCTGCGCGATGCCATGCCTTCAGCTGAAGCTGTGGTATGCAGCGCGTAAGTGCCACGTCGTGCTATGCCATGCTATGCCTTGATGCTCAACGCCATGCTATGCAATGTTATGTTCGGGGCCGCTGTGCGATGCCATGCTTTGTGTTGCAAAGCTTTGTGATGCAATTCTTCACTACGCCACGCCACGCCATGCTGTGACATACTACGCTTTGCGGTGCTCTTCTACGCCATGCCATGCCGTGCTCTACGATGCATCGCATACCCTTTCGGGATCATTGCCCTGCTCGACATCCGACTGTGCGAGTAGAGAGGGGATCTACGCCATGGCAAGGGATGGGAGGGATGGGTAGGATGTCAGATATGACGCGAGCGCACCTAGCTTGTCATCCTGCCCCTCCTCCTCCTCCGCCTCCTCCTCTACCCGTTTCGTTCGTGCAGCGTGGCCACCCCTGGGGGCACCCGCCGCCCCTCCCGGCTCAGCTCGGCGCGGACGGCGTGGTCGAGGGGGCGCCCCCAGCCGGGCAGGCGAGCCAGCCGAAGCGCGGTGTTGCGCCACGGCGTCGCCCCTCCGAGAGGGGGCGGGGGAGGGATTGTGGGAGGGTGGCGAGGAGGAGGAGGAGGAGGAGGAGGAGGAGGAGGAGGGAGCAGGAGGAGGATGAGGAGGAGGAGGAGGGAGCAGGAGGAGGAGGAGGAGGAGGAGGAGGAGGAGGAGAAGGAGCAGGAGGAGGAGGAGGAGAACGAGGAGAAGAAGGAGGGTATGAGACTATGATGAGACTGACTCGAGGTCAGGCCTCGCTCGCCTGGCATAGGCGCCTCTGCCGCGCGCGCGCCGATGCGCGCGTCCGCGAGTGGTTCGGGAACTGCGCCCCAACCCTCAAGATCGAACTCGAGCCGCACTCAAGGCAAACGACCGACACCACGTACCACCACACCGGCGATCGGAGCAGGCCTTGAGCGCTGGAGGAACTACAACTGGACAGACCAGTGGACGAAGGAACACCCCGACGAGTACTGGAACCAGACCTACTGCGGGAAGGGCAACAACCACAGTGGCAAGGGAAGCGCCACCACGAAGGACTACGACGACGACGGCAAGAGTCAGAAGGGCAAGAACAAGCCAAACAAAGAGCAAGGCAAAGCCCAAAACCCGAACACAAAAAGACACCCAAGGGGGGCACGAACCAGGACTTCAACGACCACAGCAACAACACCAACAACAACGCCATGCAAATGAGTAAGATCTATGCCACCATGAGACAGGACTGGGAGATGCCCCCAAACGACCCCGACCTGAGAGAAGACTGTAATAATATCAAATACATTGAGCCAAGGCGTGCGTCAACAATTATTGCGAAAAACAGTGCAGCCGGCTTACCCACGACCGACGCAGTCACACTGATCACCTTCCACGAAGCCATGATCCTCAACAGCATGCCCCTAGCCCAACAGGCCAGGGACATCGACAACACCACGAGGACGGCCACGGATGACTTCTACGAGCATACCAGCAAACCAGAGATGGAGAAGAGAATCGAGGATCTGCACAGCTTGCAGCGGGACATTGACAACGACAGGGACGATAACTATCGCGAACCAGGAGCTGCCGATGACGAAGCTGACAAACCACAACAGGAAACACCGCCAAACAGGACGCCTACACTAGCACCACGAAGACAAACAAGGGCTGGAGAAAACAGTGAGGGACAATACATCGGCACACTGCTCAGGACGCTCAAGGAGGACAACCACAGAATGGCAACAGGCATAAACCAAACAACGACGAGGCTAGCGACGAGGTCTACGCCATCAGGAAGCACCTCCGAGGAGCAGAAACGCAGCTCAGGAACATGCCGAACGGCTATACAGCGAAGCATCAAAAGCCACGCGCTACCACAAGGAACTCATGAACGAGACCCACAGCACCAAGCTCACCCCCGAAGAGGTGGCTGCTCACCATGAGCTTCTACATGAGAGAATCGGGTCGGGCGAAAGGGGGGGAGAGCAAAGGGGGGGTTTGAGAATCAGCTCACGTAGCTGATTTTCCCGGCGCCTCCCGGCGCCGGAAGCGGCTATGTATCGAGGAATGGGCCCCTCGGTGGGGCCGAAACCAGCTGCATGCAGCAAATTTCGTAACCCCCCCTTTCCCAATCCCCCCCTTTCGCCCGGCCCGCGAGAAGCACAGCAGCGCTCAAGAGGACAGAGGAGGAGCTGCATGCCGTCAGCGCATCCTGCAGGGCGAATCACGCCCACGAGAGGACCGTCGAGCTGCGGAGGCAACTCAGGTAAGCACAACCACGGCCCATCGACGCCAACAAGGGCCGCGCCATCATGTAGCACCCCTCCTGCTCCTCATCCTCCACCTCCTCCTCCTCCTGCTCCTCCTCCTCCTCCTCCGCCTCCTCCTCCTCCTCCTCTTCCTCGTCCTCCTCCTCCTCATTATTCTCCCCCATCTCCTCTCCCTCGTTTCCTCCTGCTCCTGCTCCTGCTCCTCCACCTCCTCCTTCTCCAGCAGCAAGCAGCAACAAGACCAAGGAGTACAATACCAACATGGCCATCTGCAACGAGAGGGCTGAGGCACCACATGAGGTACACAAGGCGCACGAGGACCTGCTGGCACACCAGAGACACATGGAACCACATATATGTGGAGCACACGAGAGATACCAACATGTGGCCTACGACATCGAGCACCAGGTCAGAAGAAGGGACGCAGGGCAGGTACAACAACAATATGGCTACATACATAACGTGCTGACCGATATGAACGAGCGCTAAGACCAGCCGCACTGCAGGCCGGAGGACACGTACACCTCGCGAGAGAGAGTCGAAATTGGTACAGCAGAGCAACATGATGCCTTTCAACACGATAT